GAGCTCTCCCAGCTCTGAGCTGTGGTGTGATCAGAGCTCTCCCAGCTCTGAGCTGTGGTGTGATCAGAGCTCTCCCAGCTCTGAGCTGTGGTGTGGCGGTCAGTGCTCATCCAGCGCTGAGGCTTGGGACCTTTCTGCACCTCCAGCGCCAAAAGCTCAGGTCCATGGGTCTGGTGTCCCTTGTCCCAGAGCCAGCAGTGGGAGGGGCCGTCAATCCTGGTCTGCCTGGCTCCCTCAGGCCCCTCCCCAGCTGGGGGGGGGTACTGCAGGAGGGCCAGCAGGCCCCTCCCAGGGTGGGGACCGAAAGAAGGGCCTGCCCTTCCCAGGATGAGATGCGACCTCGCCTACAAGACTGGGAGATTTGGAAAGCGCCTGCCCGACCCAGCCTAGCAGCCTAGCCACAGCCACGCTGGTCTTAAATCATTTATTTTCATGCAGAGGTTTGAGTAGAAAAATAAAGGAGTACAAAATCAGAAGGGACGGGAGCTGGGTCTGTTTTCTGCCTTCCATACTGCTACTGTGCAGCCGCCCACCTCTTCTGGCCCTGGGTCATCCGCCCTCCGTGCCCACCGGGAGGTCAGGCCCAGCCTCAGCATCCAGCACTCCCTTCATGGCCATGGAGGAGGCTAGGGGAACCCGGGGAGCAGGAGGGGCAGGGGCGCGGGTCCTTCCCGGGAGAGTCACAGGCGAGGGCCCAGGATGAGGAGCAGGAGCCCCAGGCCCAGCACGGGGCCCAGGGAGGAGCTGGTGCGCGGGGCGCCGGCGGACAACGCGTTGTTGCACAGGTCACCCTGGCAGCACTCGGTGGTGACGCTGCCGCTGCTCACCTGGCCCGGCTGGATGCTGCTGGGGGTGCACCAGTCGGCACAGTCCTTCCTGATCAGGTTTCCCGACAGAGGCTCCACTGTGGAACGGCGGGGGGTGGGGGGTGCGGGGAGCGGTCAGGACTGCCCATTGTCCAGCTCAGCTTTTATACACCCGTCCCCCTCCCACTTCTGGGCACAGTCGCCTGACTATGACTGAAGGGTTGTTATCATTGTGCAGGGGAGGAGGGCGGAGGGGGAGCTCCCCCCGCCTGAAGGTCCTGGCCCACCACTCACCTGTGGTGATGGTCCTGCAAAATTTGGAGCTGGCCGGGCAGGACTGGGGTTCCTTGCAGTTGGTCGAGCTGTTGCACACATGACAGCGGAGTGCCTGGGCTGGTGGGGAAGGTGGTGAGGCTCAGGTCCGGGTCGGCTGCCCACAGAGGCTCTGCAGGGCGGAGCACTGCACCTCCGCCACAGGCAGTGGCCGCCCCTGGCCATCCCTGGCCCCCGCAGAGCTCCGCCCGGGCCCAGCTCAAGAGGCCCTTGCCCTGCCCCCCGCCCTGGAGAAGGCCTCTAGTGCTAGACCACATCGGTGAGAGGCCAGGACGGCCTGGCAAGGAGGGCCAGGGCCTCCCGGGGCCTCAGGGCACCCTGCACGCTGCCCAGAGCAGCTCCTGGGACACGATGGCCCCACACCCCGAGAGGCTGCGCCAGGCCCCACTGCCAGCTGGCTGCCTGCGGCGGGGAGGATGGGCTGGGGCAGGGAACCACTCCAGCACCACCTTTCTGAGGGTCTCCAGTGCTACCTGTCGAGTCTAATCCTTTGATTCTCAGGTATTGCAAGCCTGCCATTTGTTGGGTTAAGATAGAGGTCCATTTTGTTTTAAATGCCAGGGGTAGAGCATCCCATGTGCCAGTATTCTCGGCTCCTCGGCTTCAGGCTTCCTTCCTGTCAGGACCAGCCTGGCTAAGCCAGGGCTGCCCACCCTGCCCAGCCCCAGCCCAGCCCTGCCCACTCTGCCAGGCCCCAGGCCCGGCCTCTCACCTGGACCCATGGCCACAGCCAGGGCCGTGAGGAGCAGCAGGACTGTCTTCATCCTGGTCTGGGTCTGGGAGCAGTAGCGGCTCCTCCTTCCCCGGCCTTATAGCTGGGACAGTGGTATGGGAGGGGCAGGGAGGGGCGCCAGCAAGCGGGTGGCACGCCACCAGGCTTGCTTCACCCTGCCGGGCCCACATGCACCACCCCAGCACACGCTGGGCGTCTGCCAGCGGGAGGGTCCACGGCCCCCGGCCCCCTCCCAGGGCCAGGTCTGCCTTCTGGGGCTGCGCAGGGCCAGTTCTGGGCAGAGGCCCCGAGTCTCCCTCTGTCTGCCATCTCTGTCTCTGCCAGCTGGGTTTCCGTTCTCATTCCATCTGCTGGTCCCTGGGTCCTGTCACCGCCCGCCCGCCCCCCGTCACCTCCGGCACTTTGGTCCTCTCCTCCACCCCCTGTACAGCCCCTTCCAGGCACAGTCTGTGCCGGGTGCCTGGAGGGGCCCCACCGGCAGGGAGGTGCTACGCCAGGCCCAGTGCAGCCCTGGAGCACGGAACCGCAGAGACGCAAACTGATGGCCTGTGGGAGGCAGAAGAGAGACCAGTGTGGGGGAGAGAGCACACTGGCAGCAAAGACCCCAGGCCTGGGGGTCCCAGCCATCACAAATGCTGGGGAACTCTGGGCTGGAGCAGGGCTGATGGGAATGGAGGGGGGGTCCAGCTGCAGAGACCAAGATTTCTTGTTGGGAAGACACAAGTCCTCTCCAGCCTTCTCCTTCCCCCAGACCCTGCCCTTCTCAGGCCTCAAGACCCTCCCCAGTCCTGTGCCCTGGGACACACCTGGAGACGCAGCATCTCAGCGGGCCTCCTGGTTTGTAACACTCCCAATCTCTGCGCCCGCTCCAAAACCAGAGAACTGAGAACCCAGAGTTCCCAAGTCCCGGAGGCCACGGTCCAGGCCCGGGGCAGTGCTGGGCCTGGTCCCCTGCGGGGTAGGCAGAGCCTCTCCTTCACACTCTGTTCACAGGGGGGAGGACTCGAGTCTGGCGGACTGTTCCCACTGTGCCCTGGGAGGGTCAGGCAGACACGGGGCCGGCTTGGTACAGATAGAGATCGGCCGTGGGCCTGTCCTCAAGCATCCTGTGTAGCCAAGGAACATGTACCAACAAGGACCGGAAGGTCGGGACAGTGGCATTGGGCCAGGCTGAGGCTCTAGGACTCGGTGGACCTGTGCTCCAGTGGCCCAGACCCCTTCCCGGTCTCCTGCCCTGGACTGGCCAGCTCCTGTTCTGGGTGAGGTAAAGGCTACGGTCATTTGCTGGGGGCTCCGCAGTGACATTGGCTGAGAGCTGTCACACGACTCCCCTTCATCAGCTCCTGGGTCCTAAGGGGTGTGGCAGCTGGTGCCTTCAGGGTCCCAGGAGGGGCTCAAGTAGGACCCCGCCCCAGTCAGCCTGGCCTTGCTGGTAACATGGGTCCCATGTGCGCCAGATCCCCCTGCCATCCGGACTTTCTGCCCACACGTACCAGGCACAGGGCTGCATTGTGGGGGAGGGAGCGTGGTTTGCAGACCTTGGGAACAGATCCCAGGGCTGGGTAACAGGGTGGGGACTCAGGTGATGGCAGACTGGGTGACTCACCCTTACCCCGGAGGGAAGGCTGGAGAAACGGGTTTGGAGTTCTTTCTGGGCCTGGCTGAGCTGGAGGATCCACAGATGAAGGGCAGACCCAGTAGGTGTCTTCGTCCAAGGCCTCGGGCAGTGGACAGGAGGCCCCAGCACACCTGGCCCGCCCCCGGGGCCTCAGGCTTCATGGTGGCCACGTGCTCTGGAGCAGAGAGGACAGCAAGGCTGCGGATCTGAGGGAGGGAGGGAGCCTTTGTCTCTGGAAGGGCTGCCTGTCCCAGGTGGTTCCGGGAGTAGTGTGATTGGCTCCGAAGTCATGTGTTTTTGGTGTTAGGAACTTGTGGGGCAGTGTGGCCAGGGGCAGCGGTGGGCTGGGCCTGGGAGGTGGCTTGGGGTGCAATGGGCAAAGAAGCCCACTCACCCTCACATTCGTCCCTCAGAAGGGACGGCTTCTTTTGGAGCTGGGCCTTCCCACCCACCCACCCATCAGGCCCAGCCTCTGGGCCCGGTGCGCAGGTGGTGTGACAGTGAAGCGACAGGCAGGCGAGTGGGCGGGAGGGACAGCCTGGACCTGGGTCCGAAGCGGGCTCCCCTCCCTCACCATGGCACATAGGCCATGGAGCTCACCAGGGGATGGGGGCTCAGAGAGGGGGGCACTCAGCTCAGGGCAGCCCAGCATGAAACTCCAGGCCTTCTAGAAGCCCTGGGTCCTCCCCTGGCCGGAGGCAGACGCCCCAGGTAGCCAGGTCAGACCTCTGAGGGCCTCCAGACAGAGAGAGGGGGCCACACCTCAGGAGTCCCGAGTGCTTCCTCCAACCTCAGGTCACGTCACTCATCCGTCCATTCCACAGCGTTTTATAAGGGTCGGCATATGTCAGCCACGGCGTGAGTGGGACCTTTGCAGCTGGGGGCTGGCAGAGGACCCGCCCTGTGGGTCCAGCTAAGCTGACAGGTGGCGGCAGGGCCAGCCTTCCGGGGGCCCGCGCCACACCCTTCGTTCCCTTTCCAGGAATGCTCGGAGTCAGACGATGAGTAGGCCCCTGTCCTTCCCAGTAGCACATGCAGGTACCTTGGATGACACAGAAGAGCAGGGCCTTCCTCGCTCCCCCCGCCCCATGAGTCAGTGCAGGTGACTTCTGAGAAGGACCCCAGGGCAGAGGCTTCAGCCAGCCCAGGTCTGGAGAGGCTTTGTCCACAGCCAGGGGAGGGGTGCTCCTCGGAGACGCCTGTCCTCCCGCTCTTCAGTGGGGGACAGCAGTCACCCCGAGGCCCATCTGGCTGCAGCCTCTGAGGCCTTCTGGTCCGTGGCTGTGGCAGCCGTTCTGAGGCCTGCAGCACTCAGACTTCAGACACTCTCGATTTGGAACATAGGACATGGGGGCCAGGCAGGGACGCTGGGAGACAAGCCCAGGGGAGGCTGGGAGGCCCAGGCCCGGCCCGACACCAAGCACAGTCCCACAATCCTAAGGGTTTAAGAGATTAACAGGTGTGTCACCGGTATCCACTTACGCAAGAGGAGAGTATGGGAGCGTCTTTTGGGACAGGATGCGGGTGGCCAGAAGAGAGGAACACCCTGCTTGGGGACCGCAGGGCTGGCCCACGGGGCACAGAAAAGGGCCAGTTTTGTCCTACCATTTCTGCTGGATGCCACGGCGGGTCTAAACGCGGCGCTAGCCCTCTGGTCTGGTCCTGTGAGCTTCGCTTTGCCTCCCCAGGACACTTCCGGAGCCGGTGCCGCCACAGGTTCCCCTCCTGTGTCAAGCCATCCTCCTACCACACAGCAGAAGGCAGGCCCAGGCCCCAAAGAAGCCCATCCCCACCCTTCCTGAGCCCTGGGGTCCCCCCCCCCGCCCCGCCCCACCATCACCCAGCTCCAACTGGCTGGAGAGGCGGAGCTACGGCTACCCATTCCAGCTCCCGTCCTCTCCCCACCTCTGCTCCTTTCCTGGACCCGGATGCATGTGTTACCATCTAGGGTTTGTGTTTATCTTTACAACCTGGCCAAGAATTGAAGGAAAGGACACAAGAAGCTGGGGTGCGAAGTTGGGAGCTTTATCACAGGAGCTAAAGTAATTGAAAGCAAATAGGGGGGAACTACAGGGCAAGGAAAGTGGGGGAAGAGGCAGCATTTATTTATGTGGAAGGAAGAGTTAGGACACCAGGGGAAACTGAGAAAAGCCTCTTAGCTATTGGTGGGTTGGTATAAATCCTGGAGCTGGACTCCCACTGGAAGGGCTGCTTTACGTCCTATAGGCTCTGACCCTCCCGCTTCCCAGGCATGGAAGAAGAGGAGAATTCAGACTTTGCAGCTGAAGAGAGACCCAAAGCAGTAGACCCATAGTAGGCTCAAGGATCCCTCTTTTTGTGCTGGTCTTAGGGTGCAGTCCCTGAGCTTCTTTTGCTCAAGGCTAGTGCTCTACCACTTGAGCCACAGCACCCCTTCTGGCTTTTTCTGAATAGTTTATTGGGGATAAAAGTCTCATGGACTTTCCCACCTGGGCTGGCTTTGAACCGTGACCCTCAGATCTCAGCCTCCTGAGTAGCTAGGATGACAGGTGTGAGCCACCAGCGTTCACCAAGGGTCCCTTTATGGTCATGCTTGGCTGCTCTGGCATGTGGTTGAGTTACTGCCCACCCTACTCAAGGGGAGGGCACTGTCCCCTGCGGGAGTCTGCTGAGGCGGGGAGTGTGGTGATCAAGGTCTTTGCTTTCTCCCATCTATGATCTGGACCTCCCTAGAGGAGGGGGTACTGGCTCAGCAGGCCGGGCCTAGGAAGTTTGGGGTTGTGAGGAGCATCGCCGGACAGGGCCACCTGTAGGAGCTGCACCCTTCCAAGCAGCCAGCTCCCACCCTGCAAGTCCCGGTCCAGGCCCAGGACACATCCAACCTCCCCACACACAGGGGCCTCCCCATCCTTCCTAGGGCCCCCAGGGCGGTGGCCAGCACTCGGCCATGCGAGGAAGGTGACTGAGTCAGGGCTCTGAGGGTGGAGGGGCTCTGGGGGAGGGCAGGTGAAGGGAACTGGGGTAATGGGGAGCCCTCAGCTCTCTTGCTGCCCGGAGGCCTAGCAGGTGATCAAGCAGGTGATCAGCATGGGGAGGCGGAGGGAAGGAAGGGGGAGGGGCTGTGCACGGGTTCCCAGATTCCTACCAAGGAAGTAAACACCCAGGCCGTGGGCAGAGAGGTGAGGGATAAGAAAGGAGGGACAGGGGAAGGATTCTAGGCCCCCAAAGGGCAGAAGAGCAGGGCCTGGGCAGAAAACCTAGGGACCCTGGGCTCCCAGACCTGGGTAGTCTTCTGAGGAAGGGCCTCATGCCTGTCCCCACAAGAGGCCTGGCCAGTTGGGGGGACTCTGGCCTTGGTCCCCAAGGTGAGTCCTGGGGGGATTCGGGGCCCTGGGAAACCTCAGTCCTGTGCTTGTCCAGACAGGTAAAGGGGCCCAGTGTCCGAGCAGGGTGTGGGCCTGGGGCCTGGGCACTGCGCAGAGGGGA